TTCTTGAGGGGCACAGACAAAAAAAAAAAAAGACAAAAAAAATGTTGTAATTGAGCACTTGGGGCAAGACCCAAAGTATAGTTACTCCTATATCTCCTGGTCTGACAATCTGTAGCGAAAGCCCTGCTGTTTTGTTTTTGTTCATTTTGCTTTTTTTTTTTTTGGTAGCTGGCTGATACAGGGATCTAAACCATTGACCATGCTCTAACCAACTGAGCTAAATGGCCAGCCCTTGTTTTTGTTCATTTTGGCTGGTCCAGAACCTCTGTATCCCTCCTGCTGCCCTGGTCCAGATTGGGACCCAGCCTCTTAGTAAGAATTTGTACCTTACCTACTCCAAATATCGTTAGGAGGAGAGAGGCACAGATCAAGAGTACGGGGGTAAGGGCTGATGTAGGAAAGAGTTTAGGGTAAAAGGGGGAGTAAAGGTCATTTACATATTAGAAAATCTCTACCAGGACTGTTACATAAGACACTTCCTGTCCCTTTAGTTTGTTTCATCATTAGGAAATCCTCAGTCAGGTCCATGTGGGAACCTAGAAAAATTGAATTCAGGTCCAAGGAGGGGTTAAGTCATTTTCCCCTTTGTCCTTTTTAAGAACTAGTAGAAGCCATCTCACAGCATCACATTGATGAGCTACCACCACCGTCTCAGGAGCTACTTGACGAAATTGGTAAGGGATTTTCAATACTGAATGTACTTCTTGGCCCTGTTATGGTTACTGATCACAGTATGGTTTCTTTGTGTCAGGTGTGAGCACTAGTATAAAAAAGGCCCGGTGAAGGTCTGGTTGAATGTACAAAATTCAGGAAGGGACAGTTTTCCAGTAAAATGGGCTACAGCCTGGCTGGGGTAATTGGCCTGTGTTTGTTGTCATTTTGTTACTCAAAGGGTTTATGGTAATGATTTTAAGGGAAAATGATAACTTTCAAATGGTTTATTATGATGAACTTCCTTTATTAGAGGAGTTCTTATCTCCTTTTCAAACCAAACCAGCAGGGCCGGCCTGTGGCTCACTCGGGAGAGTGCGGTGCTGATAACACCAAGGCCACGGGTTCGGGTCCCATATACGGATGGCCGATTTGCTCACTGTGTGAGCGTGGTGCTGACAACATCAAGTCAAGGGTTAAGATCCCCTTACCGGTCATCTTTAAAAAAAAAAAAAAATGACAAACCAAACCCACATTCCTTGGAGGCCTGAGGCCTGGCTGCAAGGCCAAAACACCTGTACTTTCAGTTTTGCCATTAGCAGGAGCTGTTAAAGGTATTGGAATGGTGGGCAAATTCCTTTCCTAAGAGCAGAGAAGTGAGTAGCACAAAACCTGATAAGACCAGAATTTTCCATTTCAGGCAGAGACTGAGGAGTACCAACTCAATTTTATTTGCAGGTGATTTGCTGGCCTGCACAGCTGGGCTGATGCTGAAAGTAAATGGTGCATGGTAGTAGAGATGTTTGGGGGCAGGCGATCTGCTTTCCCAAGAAAAACCTGACTGCTCCTCTTTTCTTGACAATCTGGCCAACCAGCCCCTCTCCCTCAGAGGATGCATCTCAGCAGACCTCTGATGCTCTAATTCTTGTTATGGAGCCTATGGGGAATTTCTTGAGGGGCACTGCTTAGTTTTCAGGGTCTCTGAGATTTTGTGTCTCATAAGTAAGAGGAAGGTGAATAAGGATATACTGGTCTGACTCAACGGACAGCTGCTCTCTAGACTCCTTATCATAACTCTAAGCCCCTGTCCCTTGGCGTGATGAACTTGGGTGAAACCAATTAAAGTTGCCAGAACTTTCCTTGGTTTATTTCTGTTTCTGTAGTCATAGTCCCTTTCTTGCCTCACTGCACCACTCCCTCGGTGCCACAGAGTCGTACAGGTCACAGGGTTGTTGGGTCAGACTCTTAGGGCCCATGCCCACACCCTTGCTTTCTGTCTCGGGGACTCCCTAGGTAGTCCTTGCAAATTCCTCCTCTCCAGTTGCTCTTCTTAAAATAATAGAACTGTTGAGAGTAGAGGTCACCCCGCACATGTCCTCCTCAGGTAAATTCTCAGTACCATTTATTCCTTGGTCATGGCTTAAGGCAGTACTGTACTCCTTTGCAGTTTGATCATAGGTAATACTTTTTCTCTGGATCATGGTGTCCTCTCTACAGTCACCATGTGTATTAGTCCGTTTGTGTTGCTTATAACATAATACCAGGAACTGAGTGATTTATAAAGAAAAATGAAATTTACTGCTTACAGTTTCTGAGGCTGGGAAGTCCAAAGTTCATCTGGTGGTGGCGAGAGTGACCTAGGGGTCTCATGTTGCAAGATGGTGGAAGCAGAGAGAGAGCAAGACAGATTCTCCGCTTCTTTTAATGCCCTCAGAACCACACCCCTCACCACCATTTTTAATCCATTCATTACTGCATGGTCCTACAACCCAATCACCTCTTCAAGGCCCCACCTTATAATTACTGTAATAGTAGTTCCCACTGTCTTAACAGTCCCAGTGGAGGCTAAGTTTCTAATCCATAAAACATGGGGGATACAATTCAAGCTTCAATGAGTTTTGAGGGAGACATAATTCAATCCACTGCATTCTGCCCCAGCCCCCCAAAACTCCTGTCCTTTTCACATACAAATACATTCATTTTATCCCCAAAGTCTTAACTTGTTTCAACTCAGAAGTCCAAAGTTCAAAATCCCATCTGTGAAATTCAAAACAACTTATCTACTTCCAAAATACAATGGTGGGACAAACATAGGGTACATATTCCCATTCCAAAAGGGAAAAATAGGCCAAAAGAAAGGATTAACAGGTCCTAAACAAGTCCGAAACCCAGCAGGGCAAGCATTAAATCTCAAAGCTGGCGAATCATGTAACTTGACTCCATGTTTGACCTCCTCTGCACACTGGTGAGGGTGTTGGGTCCCCGAGTCCTCTGGCAGCTCCAATCCTATGGCTTTCCTGGTCTCAGGTGATGTTTTAGTTCTTGCAGGCTGGCATTGCATGCTGGTAGTTCCACAGATCTGGGGTCTCCATGGTGGTCCCATTCTCACGGCTCCACCAGACACAATGCTGATGGGGTTTCTCTGCTGCAATTCTGACCCCACGTTTCCACTCTGCATTACTCTAGTGAAGGCTATCTGTGGTGACTCTGCCCCTGCGACGGATCTCTTCCTGGGTCCCCAGACTTTTCCATACATCCTTTGAAATCATGGTGGAGGCTCCCAAGCCTTCCCAGCTCTGGCATTTGGCAAGCCTGTAGACCTAACACCACGTGGATGCCGCCGAGGCTTCCAGCTTGTATTTTCTAAAGCTGCAGGTCCAGCCATACCTGGGGCCAATTTAGCCACAGCTGGAGCAGCCAAAGCAGCTGGGGTGCTGGTTCTGGAAGCAGCTTCCCAAGGTGGTCCTGGGCAGTGAGCCCATGGAGGGTGCCTCAGGCCTATTTCCCAAGACCATTTTGTCTCCCTAGGGCTTTGGGCCTGAAATGGAAGGATTGGCCCCAGAGGCTTGCTTCTGCAATGTCTTCTGGGCCCCTTTCCCCTTCTCTTGATAATCCCATGCTTTTGTGTTAATCTTAAGACCATTGAATTTTTCTTCTGAAAATTCTCTCTGCTTCTCTACCACTTGTCCAGGCTGCAAATATTCCAAATCTTTACACTTTGCTTCCCTTTTAAATTCTGGCTTTATGTCATGCCTTTGCCACCATAACTCAGCATAGGCTGCTGCAAGTAGCCATGCAGCTTCCTTAATGCTTCGCTGCTTGGAAATTTCTTCTGCCAAACATTGTGGTTCATAACTCTTAAGTCCCACCTTCCACAAACTCCTAGGGCATGGACACAATGCAGCCAAGTTCCTTGTCAGTTCACAGCAAGAGTGATCTTTGCCTAAGTTTCTGAAAAACTCCTTATTTCTGAGACCTCCTTAGAATGGTCTTTACAGTCCATATTTCTATCAGCATTCTGCTCGCCACCATGTAACCAGTCTCTAAGACATTCCAAACTTTCCCTGGTCTTTTTCTTTTCTTCTGAGTCCTCCAAACTTCTCCAACCTTTGCCTAACACCTAGTTCCAAAGCCGTTTCCACATTTTCAAGTATCTGTTATAAGCAATACCCTACTTCTGGTACCAATTTTCTGTATTAGTCCATTTGTGTTGCTTATAACATAATACCAAGAACTGGGTGATTTATAAAGAAAAATGAAATTTACTGCTTACAGTTTCTGAGGCTGGGAAGTCCAAAGTCCATCTGGTGGTGGCGAGAGTGACCCAGGGGTCTCATGTTGCAAGATGGTGGAAGCAGAGGAAACAGAGAGAGAGCAAGACAGACTCTCCTTTTAAAGCCCTCAGAACCACACCCCTCACCACCATTTTTAATCTATTCATTACTGTATGGTCCTACAACCCAATCACCTCTTCAAGGCCCCACCTTACAATTACCATAATAGGAGTTCCCACCCTCTTATCCGACCCAGTGGGGGCTAAGTTTCTAATACATAAAACGTGGAGGATCAATTCAAGCTTCAATGAGTTTTGGGGGGACGTAATTCAACCCACTACACCATGTGAACCCTCCATCCACCTCCCCTATTTCAGCAGCTGTATTACCAGGCTTCCTCCTGGGCTCTGGCCTCCTGGCACTGCTGTAGACCAGTGCAGTCTGTAGAAACCTCTCATTTCACTTATAGGAATTATCTGTGTGATTGATGTCTGCACTTTGAGATGTGTCAGTAATTTTCCAGAAAGACAAAGAGCAGAGGGTACTTGAATAGTTTCTCCCAATAATGGGCCTGCTCACCTGATTATTGTATATCATCACTCTGTTGTTTCCCCTAAAGAGACCTTTGGAGAGTGACCTGGAGCTGTTGGCTGTTCTTTTGAGGGGCTCAATCCAAAACTCTGGCCTCCTGACAGGGTCTTAAAGCTTTAGAACCCTAGGATATAGGTGATCATTTAAGATCAACAAGGGACTACTTTTAACAAGGATAAAATAGATTTTTAGTTTCAAATTATATTAAATGATCTTATGGGGCCCTTTGATGCCTAGGAGCTGCCAGGTAGGGCTGCATCCTGCACTGCAAGAAGGGAGCAGACCTGCGCCTGCACAAAACAGAACCATGCCAGTAAGTTCAGGGTGGCCTGTCTGTGCTGCCTCCTAGCTGTCTCTCTGCTCTGCTCCAGGCACTTTGAGGAGACTGAGCACCTAACAAATACAAAGCAGTGGATTGAGTTTAGCAGATGCTTGTCTTGGTCTAGTGAGCATTTCTTTAGGAACTGGAAATGATGGATATTCTTTTCATTCTGTCTTTCTGTAGGCCAGATAAAAAATATGAAATATAGGCCAATAGAATGAGGAAACATTTGGATTGTTCTGATGTTACAAATTTTTTGAGAGAGTATAAAATAGAGATTAAGAGCATAAACCTTAGAGATAGACTGCCTGGATTCAATCCCAATTCTACCACTTATTATCTGTGTGATTTTAGGCAAGTTCCTTAACATTTCTTATGTTTTAGACAAGTTCCTTAGCCTTAATTTTCTGTTAAACAGGAATAACAGTAGTGCAATCAATCTCATAGGGTTGTTTTGAAGATTAATTGTGAACATTAATCCTGAATTAATGTAGGTAAGTGCTTAGAAACAGTATCTGCCACATACAATTCTGCAAGTGTTACCTATCATCATCATCATTTTAATTGTTACTTTGGGTGTTGTATGGGATTTTATCAAACTTGAAGAATTCCTTTCAAACCTAGAATGCCCTAAAACAGTGGTTCTTAAATTTTATCAGGCATCAGATCATCTCAAGGACTTGTTAAAACACAGATTGCTGGACCACACCCCCATGGTTTTTGATTGAGTAGGTCTGGGATGAGACCACAGAATTTGCATTCCTAACAAGTTCCCAGGTTATGCTAATGTTGCTGGTCTGAGGACCACACTTTGAGAACCACTGCCCTAGAAAATGGCAAGCAAAGGAGGAAATAAGTTGACTTCTGCTTTTGTATTGTGACAGAACACTTGAAGCAGCAGCAGGCCTCCTCCACAGTGTTGCCTGAGAACCCAGCAAGTGATCCAGGCATCACTCAACATGGTAAGCTACTACCCAGAGCTTTTCCATCAGGTTCTTGCTGTAACCCTGTCCTTGGCAGTATAGAGGTACATGGGGAAGTGTGACCTTGAGGTCAGGCACAACTCCACCTCAATTCTGACTCCACAAGTTATTGTTATTATTTTTTTTAACCGGCAGCCCTCAGAACCAGGAGAGGTTCAGAGAGCTCCCCTCCACCAGTTACTTTTGTAGGGCAAACTGTTTAACATCTCTGAGCTTCAGTCATCCTCATCTATAAGATGGCAATAGTAATTCCTATCTCGTGATGTGTATGATAGCTCCATGCACAGTGCTTGGTACAATGTTAGTCCCCCTCCCTTTATAGGACTGCCAGCAGGATGATATGAGATGGCATATGTAAAATGCTTGGCATATATTAAAGGGTATATCCCTTCCCCACCCAAGTTCCTTCCCTGGGACTCCAACCTATAAACATCTACAAGTGAGAACAGGATGGTCCCCTAAAGTAAATTTGTGCAATTTGTTTTCAGGTCACTTGCCTCCTCTTTTATGTTGCCTTTCTTTCCTCTGTTTCCTATGTCTCTCTTGAGCCTTGGCACAGACAGGGTTTCCTGTAGCTTCACTTGGCACCAAAGAGCTCCAAAGAACCCAGAAGCAGCTGCTGTGAATACAGGCTCTCTACAGACTGTTACCTGGCCCCCTGCTCCTATGGGAAGAAGGGAGCTAGTGCTTTGCATACTTCAGGGACCACTGATTGGCCTTAATTTTTGCACTTCATTTTAAGGCAGGCTTTCTCAACTTTTTTTTGGTTCTAATGAAGTTAATTCTTTCAACTGTTTTTAGATCAAAGGCACTTAGAAGAACACAAAACTGACAGTGAAAAAGAAGATAGCAATATGCTTTTGACCAAAGAAAGTCAAGATCTAGGAGAGGACACAGAAAGGTAACAGAAAAAGCTAGACTTTTGAAAGAATTTTAGTTTGTATTAGTTTTTTTAATTTTCTAATATTGACAAATAAGAAGGGGGAAAAGTGTTCTTTTTCCATACTGTCCTAAAAGCCCCTATTCCTTTTTAAAAATTTTTAATTGTGCTGAAATACTTTTTTTTAATGGATTCATTTTTTCTTTTTTTGGCAGCTGGCCGGTATGGGGATCCAAACCCATGACCTTGGTAGTACAAGGCTGCGCTCTAACCAACTGACTAACATTTTAACATAAAATCTACCATCTTAGATATTTTGAGTGTACTGTTCAGTAGAGTTAAGTATATTGATATTGTTGTGCAACCAATCTCCAGAACTTTTTTATCCTGCAAAACTGAAACTCAGTACCTATTAAACAGTTCTATTTCCTCTTCTCACCAGCCCCTGGCAATGACCATTCTGCTTTCTGTTTCCATGAGTTTGACTACCCTTGATACTTTATGTAGGTTAAATCATGCAGTATTTGTTATTTTGTGACTTGCTTATTTAACAGTGTAATGTCTTCAGGGTTTATCCGTGTTGTAGCATGTGTCAGAATTGCCTTCCTTTTTAAGGATGGATAGTAGTCTGTGGTATATACACACCATGTTTTGTTTATCCAGTCATCTGTCAGTGGACATTTAGGTTGCTTCCATGAACTTTTGGCTATTGTGAATAATGCTGCTGTGAATGTGAATATACAAATATCTCTTTGAGACCCTGCTTTCAGTTCTTTGGATATATACCCAGAAATGGTATTGCTGGACTGTATGGTAATTCTATTTTTACTTTTTTGAGACACTGCCATACTGTTTTCCATAACGGCTGCACCATTTTACATTCCCACCGACAGTGCGCAAGGGTTCCAGTTTCTTTACATCCTCCCCAACATTTGTTATTTTCTCTCTCGTTTTTTTGTGAAAGCCATCCTAATGGGTTTGAGGTGATACCTCATTTATGATTTTGATTTGCATTTTCCTATCGATTAGTAATTTTGAACATCTTTTTATGTGCTTGTTGGCCATTTGTATATCTTCTTTGGAGGAATGTCTATTCGAGTTCTTTGCCCATTTTTTAATAGGGTTATTTGGTTTTTGTTGTTGAGTTGTTTTGGGGGGGTGTTTTTACTTTGTTTTGTGAGACAAACAGGTTTCAGCTTCTTTCAAAAACTTTTAGTTAAAGGCATTAAGAGAATTTTTTGATCTTTCTAGCTGATAAGAGAAAGTAGGGGCAATCATTCAGACAGTGTAGTCTAAAAGTACAAGATTGCCGGGCCGACCCCGTGGCGCACTCGGGAGAGTGCAGCGCTGGGAGTGCAGCAACGCTCCCGCTGTGGGTTCGGATCCTATATAGGAATGGCCGGTGCGCTCACTGGCTGAGGGCAGTGTGGGCGACACCACACCAAGGGTTGCGATCCCCTTACCGGTCACGAAAAAGACAAAAAAATAAAAAAAAAAAAATAAAAGTACAAGATTGCCTCAAAAAACCTGATTCTGTTCCTGATTTAGAGCTCTCCTTTTACCTGTGTTGTGAGGTAAACCACCTCAGTTCATCTCCTTTGTCTTTGGACTTCTCTTGCCTTGTCATGAGCTGTCACTCAGAGCCAGGACTAGGGTGAGGTGAGTGAGACATGCTCCTTGGGTGCAAAATTGAAGGGGGTACCAAAAAGTTCAGTAGTCAAGATAAGTATATTTTGATGCAGTATTTTTTAAAATCAATTTAACGTACAAGAGTCCATGATGGACAAAATATCTGATTTTTTTTTTTTTTTCCCCTTTTTGTCTTTTTTTTCGTGTTCGGCAACGGATCGCAACCCTCAGTGTCGTGCCGGTACCGGACCGGGACCGGCAACGGGATCGCAACCCTCAGTGTCACTCCCGCACCTCGCTCAGCCAGTGAGCGGGACCCGGTCTGTACGTGGGATCCGAACCCTTGGCGGGAGCGCCACCACACTCCGAAGCCTCAGCCAGTGAGCGGGACCCGGTCTGTACGTGGGATCCAAACCCTCGGCGGGAGCGCCACCACACTCCGAAGTGGCACACTGTAGCAGTGCGCCACCGGGCCGGCCCAAAATATCTGAATTTTAAAGAAAGACAGAATCTGAGTTTGCATTTGCACCACTCACCACATGCTGGCCCTGCAGATCCTTGGGGAAGCCCTGCAGAATGCTTTCAGTTGCAAATGATAGAAAACCCCACCATCATGCTTAAATGAGTTCGTATCACTTAAAAAGAGATTCCCAGGTGTCATGGTATGGCTGGTGTAGCAGCTCAAAAATACCTTCAAAGACTTAGGCTCTCTTGATCTTCCTGCTGTGCTGCCCGTAACATATTGGCCTTTGTTTTCAGGCTTGTCATCTCCTGGTTGCAAGATGGCTGCCATCCACACAGCAGGCAGCGATAAGGGGGTGTGGGGCAAAGGAGTATTTTAACTAATGCTGCCCCTTTTTATCTGAAAACAAAAACTTTCCTGGAAGTCCTTTCCAGCAGATGCCCACTTACATCTCACTGGCCAAACTGTGACACCTGGATCATCCTTGGGTGTAAGGGAGACTGTTTAGCTTTCCAGCTGCTGTAAAAGGACTGTACTCACTTTTGGGTTGTGAACCCAGTATTTGTCACATTTTTCAAGGGCTAAATTATTCTCCATGAGGAAGGAAAAGAGAGACCTGGAAGGGAGGGTCTGGGAAGTAGAGGCAGAAACTGGAGCCCTGTGATCTGAGAGGAAAGTAAGGAGAGGACTTTTGGGGGAGACAGAGAAAACAAAGAGGCAAAAAATAGAAAGACAAAATTGTTTAAGAGAGGTTTTTTTTTTTAAATTTTTTTCTTTTTTTGTGACTGGTAACGGGATCGCAACCCTCGGTGTCGCGCCCGTACCGTGACCGGCAACAGGATCGCAACCCTCGGTGTCGTGCCCGTACCGCGACCAGCAACGGGATTGCAACCCTCGGTGTCGCGCCCGCACCGCACTCAACCAGTGAGCGGACCAGTCTCTATAAGGGATCCGAACCCTCCGCGGGAGCGCCGCCGGGCTCCCAAGCACTGCACTCTACCGAGTGCGCCACCGGGCCGCCCCTTTAAGAGAGGTTTTAGGAAACTTTTGTCTATGATGTGTGATGTTACTATGTTTCTTCCACCTCCCCAAAACACCTTCAGTAAAAATCTACACAATTATTCAAGGCAAAAGAAGAGTTGCTCAAGAGGGCTGCGATACATTTGGTTATACAAACCAATTAGCTACTGTTATCGTTACCTCTTCTCTTTCCAGAGGGCTGGCAGTGCTGGCCATAGATAGATGCTTCACAGATGCTCAGTCATCTCAGTGCTATGAATGATTGGTCCTAGGCACCAAACCAGATTGGAAAATGGTTGGGACTTTTCAGACCAAAGTTCTTAAAACACTCTACTCTGCATCTTTCAGCCTCAGAGATAGTTCTTAGAGAAACATGTAGGAAAGCATGTACAGTTCTAGCCTCATGTAGAAACTGACTTAATGACCTAGAATTCAGAGTCTCGCATCAGACTTTGGAAGGGAGTGATCTCATGGGAACTGAGGCTTTTTGTTGTCAAGGGGCTAAAGTATTATTTTGGTACACATTTAAACCGGATCTAAGTGACCTCTATGACTCTAGATAAAATCTCGCTGAGCTCTCATTTTCTCATATGTGTAGTGAAAGCACAGGTTTGCTTGCTTGCTTAAGAATAAATTAGTTTATTAAGAGCTTAGTTTGAGGATTAATTTGTGAAGAGTTGGACGTGTTCTCAGCACAGGTTTTAAGGTCCCTTCCTTAAGTGTTACACTTCTTTGTCAAGAGAGGGGAAGTGACTGTTGTCTTCATTCTTCTCACTCCCTTGGACAGAGCTCACTCTTCTCTTGATGAAGAACTGGAAAGATGGCTGCAGCCACCTGAGGAGAGCATGAAGCTACAGGATCTCCCCAAGAGTTCTGCAAGGTTATTGTTCCCCACTGGGGAAATTGTTTTCTTTCTTTTTTTTCTTTTTTTCAGAAAATAAGTTTTGGATTCCTTGGTGAATGAATGTCTGGTAGTGGTATTACTTTGCTGTAGGTAAGCCAGCCATGACTCTGTCTACACTGTTGTGCTTACCCCTATTTCTCCAACTACCCACAGTGCTCAAGTTATTGATTAGCAGATATTAATATCAAGAGAGGCCTCTAAGATTGCTGTATCTTGACTCTGCCACCTTCAACATTTTCATCAGTCATTTCAATTGAATCAGAAAAGGCCTGCTTATCAGATTTTTATGAATGCTAATGAATGAATGCTAATGTGATGGGCAATAGACTGAGGATTCAAAATGCTAATGTGATGGGCAATAGACTGACAGGTGGAAATGTTAGATTCTATGAATGAAGAAGGTAAAAGATCCAAAAGTTTTGGATCCAAAAGTATAGAATGTGGGAGATCTGGCCTGATTGGAGAACTTTTGATCAGAAGCTCCTCCTCCCTATAATTTCATTTAGGGCAGGAAATATGTCTTATTTTTATATGCCCAGCACTGAGCATGCACCCTAAGACATGGTAAGAATTCAAAAGATTTTTCTTGAAAAAGGCATGACTCTGTGAGGCCTCAGTTTGATGCAGTTGCTGAAAAGGTCAGTGTAGCATTAGTGCTGGATGGACAGAAATATACTGTCTAGGTCAAGGTAATGTGTGAGGTAATGTGCTGTTGAGAAGACTACTAGAACACAATGTGGGGCTCCTTTTTGGGTGTCACAATTTAGAAGGGATATTAACAAACGGAAGAGGGCGGCCACAGAACAGTCAGAGGTCTGGAAACCATGTCATGAGAACAGCTGAAGGAACTGGAGAGGCTGAGCCTGAGAAGAGCAGATGGAATGAAGAATTTGATAGCTGTCCTCAAATACCTGAAATATTGTAAAGTGAAGAGAGTCAGTTTACTTTCTTCTACTCTAAGGACAGAACTAGTGACTAGAAATTGCAGAGTAACAGATTTTTATTTAGAAAGCACAAAGTTTTGGGGCCGGCCCCGTGGTGCACTGCTACAGTGCGCCGCTTGGGAGTGCGGCGGCGCTCCCGCCGAGGGTTCGGATCCCACATACAGACCGGCCGCTCACTGGCTGAGCGAGGTGCGGGCGCAGCACCGAGGGTTGCGATCCCGTTGCCGGTCCCGGTCCGGTACGGGCGCGACACTGAGGGTTGCGATCCGTTGCCGGACACGAAAAAAGACAAAAAGGAAAAAAAAAAAGAAAAAGAAAGCACAAACTTTCTATAGCCACAGCTGTCTAATAGGGGAAATAGCTACCTTTATACTTACTTTGACAATGGCTATTGCTGCTCAAGGAGAGGCTGGATGACTCTCTGTTCTCAGGCTTTTGGACAAGGATAGAAGATAATTCAAAGGCTTCCTCTACCTCCTGAGCTTGAGATTCTGTTAGAAGAAGAAAAAAAAATCCATTTTCACCTAACTGGCTTTATTTTTACCCTCATTTTACATATTTTCTTTTAACTATCCACAAAATGAAAATAGAAGAAGAATCCTTAAACAGTGTTACTTTCGTTTAGCCAGCATCTATTTAGCAATGACAGTGAGCCAGGCACTGAGCTAGAGGTTGGAGGTGCAAAGAGAGATAGACGTCTCTGCCCTTAAGAAGCTTATGGTTATGTGGGGGAGATGATTTCTGCTTAATTGTTTGACAAATGTGGTCTTAAGTTGTGAGATACTTAAATTACTTAGATATTTCACTTAAGAGAGAGTTTGAGAAATGAAGATAAGGTGATAAAATAAAAGGTGGTTTTGAAAAGGACACCAGTTACAACATAAGTAAAAAATGCTTTTTGGCCGGCCCGGTGGCGCACTGGATAGTGCGCCGCTTGGGAAGCGCGGCAGCGCTCCCGTCCGAGGGTTCGGATCCCACATACAGACCGGTTCCCGCTCACTGGCTGAGCGAGGCGCGGGAGCAACACCGAGGGTTGCAGTCCCGTTGCCGGTCCCCGGTCCAGTACGGGGGCAACACTGAGGGTTGCGATCCGTTGCCGGACACGAAAAAAGACAAAAAGGAAAAAAAAAAGCTTTTCTTCTTTAAGACGATATAGCCTAGTGGTTGAAAGCAGAGTCTGAGGCAGACTGCCTGGGTCAGATCCCAACTCTAGGACTTACTAGGTGTGTACACACTTAATGGGGGTGGTAGTGATAACTACCTCATATAGTTGTTATGAGAATTAAGTGAGCTCGTATACATTTAAACCAGTGCCTGGCCCATAGGTAACTCTCTTGTCAGTGCTAGCTATTATATGTTTCCTTTGGAGTGCAGTCCTCTTCCCTGGCCATTGTGCATGTGGTTTGATGCCCAAAATCATTGTTATTAAAGAGAGACAGATACCAAGGATCAAGAAGTTGGTGAAAAGAAGAGAAAAGGGGAAGAACGCATCAAGCCAGAAAGAAGGAAATCAGAAAGCTTTTTAGGGACTTCTGAAGAAGGTATGAATGAATGATTGTTTATAATGTAGTCTGCAATCATTGGGCTTTGATGAGCATCAAAGTTATATAGAAATGTTTTCCAGATGATATATATAATTCTTGTACCTTTGATTTTTTCCCCCTGCAGTTCAGCCCAGGTTTTCTGTTAATTTCCAATCATATCAGTAACAACATCCAATTCTATTTCTTTTTTTTTTTTTAAAGATGACTGGTAAGGGGATCTTAACCCTTGGCTTTTTTAAAGATGACTGGTAAGGGGATCTTAACCCTTGGCTTTTTTAAAGATGACTGGTAAGGGGATCTTAACCCTTGGCTTTTTTAAAGATGACTGGTAAGGGGATCTTAACCCTTGGCTTGGTGTTGTCAGCACCACACTCAGCCAGTGTGTGAACCAGCCATCCCTATATATGGATCTGAACCCGTGGCCTTGGTGTTATCAGCCCCGCACTCTCCCAAGTGAGCCCCGGGCTGGCCCTTCCAATTCTATTTCTTTTTTTTTTTTTTTGTTTTTTTTCGTGTACGGCGACGGACCGCAACCCTCAGTGTTGCGCCCGTACCGGACTGGGACCGGCAACGGGATTGCAACCCTCGGTGCTGCGCCCGCCCCCCGCTCAGCCAGTGAGCGGGAACCGATCTGCATGTGGGATCCGAACCCTCAGCGGGAGTGCCGCCGCGCTCCCAAGTGGCGCACTGTAGCAGTGCGCCACCGGGCCGGCCCCCAATTCTATTTCTAAAGCAAGCCTTCAGCTAGTCTCATCATCATTATATTGCACATTGTCTGGAGAGATGTTTTGCTTCTAACTGTCTAACATCTTCAAAAGAATTTTAAATTTAGCTTACACAGATGCTGCAGAATCCAATAAGAAATCATGTGTTAGGGAATTTAAATGACATCTACAAGTAATATGAAAGTTGTAAATTAGCCTTAATTTAAAAACTATTTTGATAGAGCTTTAAAGACTTCTGATATGCCCTTCACAAATGATGCCCTCCTGTATATAAGTTCTTCTTACTCAGATAGTTCAAGACATTAACTCTTTCAGAGAATCTAGTATCCATTTCTTCCCTTCCCTAGTCCCTTCTCATTCTCCTTTTTCTGCCCTGCTTTGTGTCCCAGGATGCTGACCCTAGTGGACTGCATCTTCCCATCTTACTGTTGGCCAATGGGAGGCCTCCTGACAGAAGATCAGAGGGCAGGAGAGAGGTTGGGGTATTACTTCCCCCTCACTTCCTAACTTCATCTTGTATCTAGTAGAAATGGTGTCTCTTCACAAGCACAGGTTCTATAAGTCTGTCTGTCTTTCCCAGTTCCAGCTCTCTCTGGGTTCTGATAACTGTCCCCCCAACCCCACCCCTCAGTTCCTTTAGACCTAGTCTTCCCACTGCTGCTAGTCACTGGATGCCTTGCCATTCCTTGTTTGTTCCTGTAATTCTACCTATGTATGTAGTCACTTGGTTAGGGAGTCTTTATTTCAACTAGCCATGGGTACATTCAGGGTTTCCTCCAGAACCCTGACTGGCAAAGGACTCAGAGTATATAGGCTTTTAGCTAGTATTGAATTCATTGAGAAGGCAATGCAGGGACTTTGTGAATTGGTGTCATTAGTGTCCATTGCTGTGGCAGGGAGCTGTAGAATGTTAGGAGAGGAAGCCCATTAACTGTGTTTTTAGAAAGATTCCATCTCTTTAGAATAGAATAACTGTTGTAGGTAAAACAGTCTAACTTAAACTAGAGAAAGCACTCATTTGAATTCTTAGTGCTGGCACCCTTTGATGTAGAAAGTACTCAGTTTGTTTTTTCTTTCTATTTCATCTAGATGAATTACAACCCTGTTTTTGGAAGCGACTGGGTTGGTCTGAACCATCCAGGTAATGAGATGTCAGGTGTTTGTAGGCCAGAGTTCACTGTTTATAGACAACACGGGCAGACATAAAACATTTACTAGTGTTTAAATAAACATTAATGACAGAGACTTGAATTCAGACAAATTGCTCAATTTTTTAAATGTTAATGTTTATAGTTAATTAAAATATAAGGTGAAATTAATGCCAAGTTTGATTAAGTAGTTGGGAGTGTCAGCACAAAAACAGCTTTAATATGGAGGGAGTACAGAAGATGCTGCTGTCAATGGTTTTGCAGTCATTTTGCATTTCCATGTTATGCTGTTGATCATAATCCCCCTTGGTTATAAAGACCCTTGAACAGAAAGTCTTTAAAAAATATATACATCAACTCAAACTACCTTTTTTGTTCTTTAAAAAACATATATGTAGGATAATCGTGCTGGATCAGAGTAACTTGTCAGACTGACCGGAATTAGATCGTAGATGGACTCCTGGCCTGAGTTTTCGTGTCCTGGTTGAAAACTCCTTCCTTCTCTCGTCTCCTTCAGTTGCCATCAGGGCAGCAGTTCCAGTTCCTGTAACTCACACTTTGTTCAGCTGCCACAATGGATGTAATGGTTTGACCCTGTCTGTTGGTAGCACATTTAACCATTTGTTTTCAGTCATATTTCTGAAAAGTGAGAGGTAGTTTTGATTGTGAAAATTTGTTGTTGTGTCCACAATGGCTTTTAGCTTTGTTGATGTAAATTTTTGAAAACTTCAAGTCCTGTTATATAATAAAATGTTTAGGTTTCAGCTGTGTAAGATATAGTTCTGTGTGTGAGTTATTGGGAGTTGGGGGGGAGGGTAGAAGAACTGTCACCCAAAGAGGCTTCAACAAGCTGGGTGCAGTGCACCTGTAGTCTAGCTGCTCAGGAGGCTAACGGTGGAGGATTGCTAGAGCCCGGAAGTTCTGAGCTGTAATGCACTATACTGGTTAGGTGTCCATACTAACTTCGGCATCAATATGGTGAACTTCCAGTGGTGGAGGACACCAGGTTGCCTAAGGAGGGGTGAACCAGCCCAGGCTAGAAATAGAGCAGGTCTAAACTCCCACGCTGATCAGTAGTAAGATCATGCCTGTGAATGGCCACTGCACTCCAGCCTAGGCTACACAGTGAGACCCTGTCTCTTAAAAATAAAATAAAGTTTAACAGACAGGCAGCTACTTCTACCACGCATCATACAAACTGGCATCAGTCATTTGTGTTTTGTAACAGAAATACCACCTGTCCACTTGGCTGGGATTGCCCTATTCACAATCCAGGTAGATTTGGCTCACAATATGCAAGTATGGGTAGCAATAAAATCCTAAGATATTTTGAGCTCTTTAAGGTAAGCAAACATAAAATCTGTATATATTTCAGAGTATACATCTCACATCAGTGTGTTAGAGGAATGAAATTGTGATAAGACTAAGATCACAACATTTTCTGTCATTTAGCCTCTTGTGACTACTTCCCAAAAGCATACGTGTATCTAGCCTCGTTTTTAGAAGATTTATATATCTTCATCTGTCTCCAGTTTGGAGTCTTCACCTATGAATAAAAATCTTTTCTTGGAAGCTGTGTGCTGTTGTTCGGTACCATCCAGCTAACATTTAATTCTCTCTTGGTGAGTAGTAGGTCTTTTGTTTGTGAAAACTGAATAGTTCTCATTGTGGATGGTCATATTCATACTTCTTAGCTCCCAGAAATTTTACCCTGAACAGATAAAATGGGAAGGTACAAATCCACTTGACCCTTTTAAAGCAAGGAAATAGTTGCTTGCTATTGTAATCAAAGGAAAACTACCAGAAAACAAATTAGTTTACAAATAATACCATGCGTTAGAAACTTTTAGGGATACGGAAACTTACAATACACAGTCCTTTTCTCTGAAAAAATTTATTATAGTTGATAAGACAAAACCATAATACATAAAAGTGTGAGGACTAATAGCAGATGTATGGTAAATGGTAAGTTACGTCATTACAGCATTATCTAGGATTGTAATCTACTTTCTACAGAGTAGATTCTTCTATCTGGCCAGTAACTGTATAATATTGGCCAATATTAGCAATAATAATGTTGGTGGATATTGTTTATTGGTTATAGAGAAATTATTCTGTGCCGGGTGACTTTATATACATTAACACTTTTCCAGCACATGGCAGCCCCACTGTGTTTCTTTAGTATGTTTCTTCTCTCACTCTCATTAGCTATTTCAAACTTCCATCCCTTACTTCCCATCAACTCTCAATAGATGACTTCACCTCCAACTTTACAGAGAAAATAGAAACCATAAGATGGGAACTAAATTAGCTTCCTGTCACCAAAACTACTAACATGACCACATCTATCTTTGTAGAATAGAAAAACAGTTGCAGGTGAAGCAGTTTGAACTAGAGATGAACCTATTCCACTCCTATTCTTTCTACTTTCCTTTCTGTTACACTGAAGGAGGTGCCCCTCTTTCTGTCCTTGGCCAGTCTTACCTGCTGTCTGCTCAGGGTTAACCTTCTCAGGTTATCATCTCTCTTTTTAGTAGCTTTAACCCCTTCTTGTTAGCTTCTTTTCATTAGCATTAACACACTTATATTTTCCTGTCTTTAAAAAGTATTCCCTGGATCCCACCACCTTTCCAGCCGCTGCCCCATCACTCTCCTCCCACTGCGGTTAGAGTTCTTTTTGTTGTTATTGTTATTGTTGTTGTTTTTTGGCAGCTGGCTGGTACAGAGATTGAACCTTGGACCTTGGTGGTATCAGTACCACTAATCCACCGAGCTAACTGATCAGCTCAGAGTTCTTGAAAGAGTTATCTGTACCTGCTATCTTTAGTGCCTCACCTCCCACTCACTCCTTACTCCACTGGAATCTGAATTCTACCATATTCCTAAATTTTGTAGACAGTTTGGCCTCATTTGCGCTCTCAAACTATTCTCTTGGCTTCCTTGATGTTACACTCTGGTTTTCCTTCTATCTCCCTGGTTACTCTCCCTCAGCCTCCTTTGGGGGCTCCACCTCTATCTTTTCTCACTCCAAGTTTTCCTCCTAAGAGACCTTGTTCATTCTCATGGCTTCAGTTAGCATCTATGTACTGACAACTCCCAGATTTGTATTGCAAGTCCAGGACCAGACCTCTCCTCTGAGCTCATATGTCTACCCATATATTTGAAGTCTTCACTTGGCTTTCTTTCGGGTATCTTACTGACATACCCAAAACTGAACTCAATCTTAACCTCCTCCACCTCCAGCATTCCCCTTCCAATCAGTGGTATTACTGTCCATTCTACCACTCATACCAGAAACCCAAGAGCCACTCTTGACTCCTCCCATTCCATTACTCCTTACATAAAAAATATCAATCATTAAGACTTATCTGTTTCAACCTCCAAAATATATATGTTCCTTTTACCCAATTCTCTTCATTTCTATTGCCACTACTCTCTCGTCCAGGCCACTAGTAACTCTTACATCGGGCATTGCAACAGCCTCCTCAGGTGGCCACTTCCATCCAATCCCACATTCAACAAATCTTTTTTTTTTTTTTTTTAAAGATGACCGGTAAGGGGATCTCAACCCTTGACTTGGTGTTGTCAGCACCACGCTCAGCCAGTGAGCGAACCGGCCATCCCTATATAGGATCCGAACCCGTGGCCTTGGTGTTATCAGCACCGCACTCTCCCGAGTGAGCCACAGGCTGGCCCTTCAACAAATCTTTTTTGAATGACTCCTGTATGATGGCTGTCCATCTAGGTGCTGGGACAATAGTAAACAAAGTGGAGTCCTGGAGTTTACAATCATTAAATGAACAAATAGATTAAGTTAATCGTGATAAATGCTGTGAAGTAAGTAAATATGTTAAAGTGATAATGACTGGATGGGGAGGGGGCAACTTAACATTAGATAGGGCGGATATTCAAGGGTAAGCTGCTCTGGAGAAGTGACCTTTGAGTGGAATGACAATAAGGAGCCTGTCTCATTGGCCGGCCCGGTGGCGCACTGCTACAGTGCACCGCTTGGGAGTGTGGCGGCGCTCCCGCCAAGGGTTCGGATCCCACATACAGACCGGCCGCTCACTGGCTGAGCGAGGTGCGGGAGCAACACCGAGGGTTGCGATCCCGTTGCTGATCCCGGTCCGGTACGGGCGCAACACTGAGGGTTGTGATCTGTTGCCGGTCACAAAGAAAGACAAAAAGGAGCCTGTCTCATGACTCTGGGGGGGGGATGAGCATCGCAGCAAGTGGAATAGCAAGAGCGAAGATCACAAGAAACACCAAACTGGAGCAGCAAAAGGCCAGGCTGGTAGAGCAGGGTAAGTTGTGGGAGGCTGACAGGAAGTGAATAGAGGCTGGACACTGAGCAGGGGGCACTATAGACCATGGTAAAAAGTGGATTCCAGTGGAGGGTTTTAAGCAAGCAGGCAGAGAGTAGTATAAAATTAACTGGCTTACATTTTTTTAAAGATTTCTTTGATACTCTTGCTTGTCTAATTTTTTTTTTCTCCACAGTGATCTTTTTAACATGTAGAAATAATCATTTCCTTGCCTTGTTTGGATCTTTGCCCATTGCTCTTACAAATACTAGACTTATCTCAGTTCTTCAAATACATCATGGCACATGCTGTTCTCCCTGCCAGAATGCTTCTCCTCTTCACCTAGCTACCTTGGTGTTTGATTCTCAGTTTACACTTTACTTCCTCAGGGAGTCTTCCTAAAGTCCCTGAACCTTAAACTATGTTAGGACCTTCTGTAAGATTCTCATAGTATCCTGCCTGCCCTCCCACCACCATACATAGACTATATTTTTATTTCATAGCATGTAGCACACTTATAAGCTAGTAGAGTGTTCTACCGTCACCTGCCCCCATACAGCTGTAAGCTCTGCAAGGCCAGGGATCATGTCTGCGTTTTTTTTACCAAGGTAGGCCCAGCTCCTGACTGAACCTACACACAATAGGTGCTCAGTGAGTATTTGTTAACTGAGCAATTATTTTTAATCCTCATAACAACGCTAAAAGTTGGGTATTTTTATCCCTACTTACAAAAGAGGAGACTGCCCAAAGAAGGGATCCTGTGACCTTCACAGAATCATACTGGAGCAAACATGTTCATGTTCTTACAGTAAGACACAGCAGCCTTCCCTGAGACTATAGTTCAAGAGAGCCCTGAGCACAGTTTAAGGATGTGGAAGTGAACCAAGAGCTAACTTCAGTTTAAAATTGTTGGTGACATGTCCTTTATGAACCCCGTCCCCATTCCCACACCTATTCTGAGGGTTTGGTGCCAAGTTTTTGGAACATACTGAGTCCTTCACTTTTCCTCAAGATGAGAAAGCAGAGAGAGTAACATTCCAGACACATAGTAGATGATTGAATGAAATTATTGGAGCACCCTTGGAAAATCTGTATTAATAGAAACTTCCAGACTAGGGGCCGGCCCGGTGGCGCACTGCTATAGTGCGCCGCTTGGGAAGCGCGGCGGCGCTCCCACCGAGGGTTCGGATCCCACATGCAGACCGGTTCCCGCTCACTGGCTGAGCGAGGCGCGGGAGCAACACCGAGGGCTGTGATCCCGTTGCCGGTCCCGGTCCGGTACGAGGGCGACGCTGAGGGTTGCGATCCGTTGCCGGACACAGAAAAAGACAAAAAAAAAAAAAAAAAGAAACTTCCAGACTAGATTTCAGTTGCTTCTTCCCAAATCCATTACTTTAGACCTTTTCCAAATGCTAATAGTAATGTTATGTACTCATATGTGTTAGAAGTGGGCTATAATGAAGTGCCCCCC